CATTTTGGTTTCATAATTTTTAGAGTTATTATGAATTCCTTATGTATTTTACAAGTTATAGCGTGTTACAGGTGAATAGTTTTTTGTATTCATATAGTTTTGGGACAATATGTCCAGAATGTTTTGCTTCCTGTTTTAGTTGCATAATGTGAATGATTTGTTGACCAACTAATTTTTATTTTACACCATTGAGGCTTTTAGTATTTTGCTTCGCATTTTATAATTTAGGGGTGCTCTAAGTTTGTAACTCAATATATCAACCTAGGAATATTGTATGTGCTGAGTACCATAAATTTTGGTAAGAGAGGATGGTGTTGTAGCTTTTCTGGTTCATCTAGGATTTATTTGTTTTATTTGGAGCTAGGGTGCATTCTATATAATTTGCTTAACTAGTAATATGTGATTAGCACTCAGTTTATTAATTTAAAATTTAGAGATATATTTGTACAGAAGGTGCCACATTTCATTTTACTGGGTTGAAGCTCACTACTTGCTGGTTAGATAGAAATTTAGTTCAATCCATTTGAATCTAAAATGATTTTTTTTTACAAAATTTCCAAGTTTAAGTGTGCTTATGTTGATTGTTCCTTATATATAAGTTTAGGGGCTTTTCATGTACTGTAAGCGGATATTTCTATTTTATAAATCTGAAATGCACAATTTTTTGATTCTACAGAACTTGAGTTCATTTAAAAAAAGGAGTCAAAATGGATTTTATACGACTTTCCAAAGTTCAGCTTATCTAAAACCAATTATTTTGTAGATAATATTTTTAGAGGCATTTGGTGCAAAGTAAGTATATATTTTTATTTCTCCTTACCAAAGAGTGTATGTTAGTGAATCTGTAGAATTTGAGTTTGTCCCAAAATGGGTTAAATTAAATTTTCTATGTATTTTATAAGTTCTTACATGTTTTATGTTTACTTTTTCTTAGATAAGTTTTAGATGTAGATTTTGTACAGTAAATACCACTTTTTAAGTTGTAACATTAAAGCTCATCATTTTGTGAATCCATAGCAACTGGAATCATCTCAAAATGATGTTTTTTTATTTTATATGGATTTTACAAGTTTAGGTGTTTTCTTGTTAAAAAGTACATGTTTTTTTATTTTATTTTATATTTTCAGATTTTAAATTCCCAATAAGCAAAAAGGTCCCGCAGGTTTCAGGGAATAGATCCCTTGGTCCAAACACGTGTGGAAAGCCAAGTTTATTAAGAGTCCTTGAGTTTTAATGTATTTATAATTAGATCCATGGTCCCACATATAAGTCTAACACATTTTACACTTCAAACCTTGCATGTTTTAAATTTTTACTAAGTGTGGTTCTCAGAGCCAAATCATGTGGGGCCTGCAGCCTGCTTGTCAGTGAGACAAGGGAAGAAGAGAGCAGGGATCGAGTAGGGGAGGAGCACGCCGGCGAGCTTCCCAGCGTACGGTGACGGTGAACGGAGGCCGATCTCGACGAGCAACCAAAAGATAAAATGTAGAACCTTTGATTGTGAATCAATATGTGTCCTTCTAGCAAGCTACGGTGATCGAAATCAGTGGCGACGGCGGTGCGAGCGGCAGTGACCTTCCTGGTGGCAATGCATGTCACTTTAGAGGCCGGGTCTAGGTGAATAGAGTGCATGCATGTGACACTAAAGCCTTGAGGGTGCTCACCAAACCATTGGGGAGGAATGCCGAGACTTGGTTGGCAATGGCGGCTTGCGGATGATATTTGTTAACGAAGTTTAGCTGAAACCTACATCTCCAGGGCTCTAATTATGGGCGCTCCTCTCCAACCAATATAGCACCTAGCCGCTACGAGTCCATGGCCTCGCCGCCTATTGACGGTCCTTAAATCATAATATTTGACCATCAATACCTGCATATAATAAAATAAAATATGGTATCCAACTTAATGGTAGGGATTATTACTAATCAATTCCACTAGTGTTGGTGAAATATGTGTGTGCAAGTAGTTTAAGGAGAAAACACACCCGTCATGCAAGGAAACACACCTCCGGCCAATCAGGCGCAAGTACACGGATTGAAGGGCCCACAAGTCAGGTAAAACCGCCATGGAACGGATCATAACTGCCATAACCGCCATCAGGGCCCACATGTCAGCCTCCTAGCCAAAGAAGAGGCCAAGAGGTGGGGCCCAGGGTTCGACCGAACCATCGCTGGCTCCTTTCATCCCGCTCTTCCACGTGTACGCTGCTTATGCTTTCCCAATGACGGTTGAGGGCGTTTTGGACAATTCTCATAGCTGTAACTGTCATATGGAGGCTATAAAAGGAGGAGCTGATCTCACTTCACTCATACAACTTTGACCTGAATTAAAAGAGGCTCTATTGTATTTTTTGTACATTAGAAAATAGGTAGAAAGTGAGGGGAAGCTCTAAAGGAGTGCCCGGAAGTTTAGCGCTCCCTCCGACTTCTACCTCGACAAATGTAGCTTTCTAGGAGGAATTCTGGAGGAGTACCGGAGCTGTGATACACTCTGCTCTGGGTTCGGAGAAACTTCTTCTATTAAGTAAGCATTCAGGATCCATTCTTATGTTATTTAATTACTTAGTATAAGTAAGATAGATTTTTCATCTTTGCAGGTTCATTGTTTAGTATTTGTACTAAGTGCTTTAGTATTAGAACTATGGATAAAAAAGGAAGTTCCTGCGCAAGTATTAGAGTAGTAATTGATAACTTAGGTATGGTATCTAGGTTAGATATTACCTTTGTTTGTTGTATATCCCACGGATTTGTTAGAGGTAGACGGCAGGTGGTGACAGCCCTAAATCCTGTCCTAGTAATCCTCCACATTCGGATACATCATAGAGCTATAGCCAGAACCACGCTGGCAGACCAGCAGGGGTCGGTGCCTGAAGCAACAAATAGGAAATTACCTTTGCTTAGCTTAGACAATTAAAACACATAGAATGTCCTCTCTAGCCTAACTAGCCTACCATTAATTGTTGTCCTTGAATAGTTTTAGCCTTAGGTAGATTTCACACGTTCCCTAAGTTCGATATCCTTTTGGGGTCACCCGAAGGTGAAGTGCTACAGCGGTATTCCGTGCGCTTGCGGATTTATCTGTGGTCGTAAGAAATACCAACACCGCCATTATCTTCCCGTGTGTCAACTAGGGGTGGAAATGGGCCAGCTCGGCTCGGCTTGCAGTGGCTCGTAACAAACTAGGCTTGGCTTGGCTTGGCTTAGTTAGGGAAACAAGCTAAAACTTGAGCTCGGCTCGGCTTGTTTCCTGGCTCGAGCCAGCTCGAGATGGCTTGCAAGCCTTCCCGTTGAAACACCTCTTCATATATATTTGTAATTATTTAAAAAAGCAAGAACAAATTATCAACATGTAAAATTTAAATAAGTTTATATATTCAATTCTTCAAAATCTTAATGATAAATTTCAAGTTAACAAATAATAACGCTATAAAAAGTAAAATAATCAATATAAACACATGATGGCCTAGGCTCGTGAGCCAAAACAAGCGGCTTGAAAGCTAGCTCGGCTCGGCTCGGCTCATTTCCAGCAACGAGCTAAAAAGGAGGCTTGGGCTTGGCTCGTTTGGCTTACGAGCCAAGCCAAGCCCGAACTGAGCCCATGAGCCCGAGCTTCTTTTCTACCCCTAGTGTCAATGCCATGATTACATTGTGATGTCTCCTCTCTATTTAAGACAGCCTATGACAGAGTTTGACTCTAACTCAGTTTTACACATATTCCAACTCTAATTTTAACTCTTAGTAGGATTATATATTCTGACACATATTCTAACAGCTGGAGCTGTCGTGAGCTCGTGACTCGCCATTGGTAAGTGAGGACACAGGCAGGAATTTGTTAGGCTATGTTCAGCAGGAGGTGTTGGCAACCCCTTCTTTCTGGCACACAAAAGATGTATGCATTAACGTATGATTAATTAAGTATTAGCTAAAATAAATTTAAAAATAGATTAATATGGTCTTTAAAGCAATTTTCATATACAAAATATTTGAAAAAAAAACACACTGTTTGGCAGTTTGAAAAGCGAGCGCGCAAAAAATGAGAGAGATGAGTTAGGAAAGTGACCAAAAGAACTCATTCTTATGGCATCCATAATGTGATGCAAATGTAGTCCACAAGTAATATAATATTTCATTCAGCCACCTAGGCCCCGTTCTAAAAAAACCAACTTTTCCTCACTTTTTAATAGCATGCTTTTCAAACTACTAAACGGTGTGTTTCGTATGAAAGCTTTTTACATATAAGTTGCTATAAAAATCAAATAAATCCATTTTCAAGTTTTTAATAATTAAAATTTAATTAATCATGTGCTAATAACTTGTCTCGTTTGGTGTACGCACTTAATCTTCATGCTTGTTGGAGAATCGAACGGGATCATAGTACTATTGTGCAACTAGTCCATATAAAAAAAATAATAAAAGGTACCCATATGCATATAGACTACCTATATGAAATAAACAATATTATTTATCTCTACTTTTCTCTTTTCTTCTCATGCTATCTTGTATTTGTGAGGATTGCTATAGTTAAAGTTTAAGGTGTGTTTAGTTCTTTGGGTGTAAAGTTTTTGAAGTATACGGACGCACATTTGAAGTATTAAACGTAGAGTAATAACAAAACAAATTACAGATTCCGCCTATAAACTACGAGACGAATTTATTAAGTTTAATTAATCCATCATTATCAAATATTTACTGTAACATCACATTATCAAATCATATCGTAATTAGGCTCAAAATATTCGTCTCGCAATTTACATGCAAACTATATAATTAGTTTTTTTTTCATATTTAATGCCCCATACATGTATGCAAACTTTTAATGTGACGTTTTTGCCAAAAAAAATTTTTATCTAAACAAAGCCTTATTTTTATTTATATGAGTGATGACCAGTGTAGATCCGACATCCAAAATTCGACTGCTGTGGAAAGTCCAGCAATTAAAAAAAGAAAGTGATCTGCATTTGTTAGTTCACCAGCACTTCACCCACTTTATTTCGCTTGCAAACTGCCCCTGTCCTTTGGCTTTTAAAGCAAATTAAGACCTTTCCTCCTCCAGACTAGTCTAGAGCTTACCAACCCAAACTACCGGAGGAAAGCAAATTGCGAGCCTGTCGCACTCGGTGGAAATGGCGCTTGTCGATCCCAAGGCCGGGGAGTCCTCCTCCTCCACCGTCACAGCTCACCACCTGTTCGTCGTTGTGATCGACGGCGTGGAGACGTCCATCCACGAGGGCAGCCTCCAGGCCAGTCTCGGCGGCACGGTCACCATCACCAGCGCGGGGAACCTCTCCGCCAGCGGCGTCCGCAGCGTCGTCGTGCGCGGCGGGGGCGGGGGCAGCGTCAGCTTCACCCTGTGCGGAGACGCGGTCGCCGACGGCGTCGACTCCGCGTCGTTCGTCCGGTGCGGCGCAGCGCGGGCGGAGGGCGCGCGGGCGGTGTCGGTCACGCGGTGCCGCGCCGCGGACTTGGAGCAGGCCGGCAGGGTGTCCCTCGAGCGGTGCAGGGAGGCACGGGTCCGGGGCGGCGGCGCGCTGCGAGCAGCCAGGTGCAGGCGCGCCGACGTGGAGAGCTTCGGCGAGGTGCACCTGGCACGGTGCAAGGGCGCGCGCGTCGACTGGTGCGGCAGCGTGGAGGTCGAGATGTGCAGGGCGGTGGATGTCAGCCGGTGCGGGGCTGTGACCGGCGGACGGTGCAGGGTGGTGAGCGCCGTCGGCTGCGGCAGCGTCGAGGTGGCCCATGCCGTGGTGAACATTCTTGAAGAAGAACAGCCACAAGCAGCACAACATCCCGTCTCTCCATCACACTCCAGTCGATCCAGTGACAGTGAATGAAGGTTAGCACCAGTAAGACTCGGTGAATCTGGTGTTTAGTATATTCGAAATTGCAATCTCATACTGAATTTGCTCCGTAGGTTTTTTCTTCTTAGTTTCATTCACGGTGGATTTGTTTTTAATTAAACTGAATTTGATTTGTCGACTACGGGTAAAAGGTGTAATATATAAATAGTCTTGACAAGCTGCATCTTAATCTGAACTCGAGTAATACGAATGGAGATAGGATTTTCATTTTTAAATGATAGTTTTCTGCATTCTCTTTCAAATAAAATATTATTTAGGCAATTTCAGTTGCAAGGTTGAAATATCACTGAAGGTTACAAGTTGATTTGTGTTGTCGACAAGCTCAAATTACAGAGACTCAATTTTGGATGCTATTTCTGCTCCCAATAGCAACCTGATCTGAATCGTCATCTTTGGGTGTTCTGCACTTCTGCTCTGCCGCCTCTTGCAGTCTTGCCCATTTTTCATTCCCTGCTCCACTCGAATGGGCCATATGCAAGTTACTTCTTCTTGTCGTGCTCAAGAGTCTTGCCTAGTTTCTTCCATTTTCCTTTTTATAGCTTGTCCCAAATCTTTCTACTCCGTACTTCAATTATTTTGCCCCATGCACGTACCGAGTACTCCCAATTCACAAACGAGATCTTTTAGGGAGTTAGCGAGATACTTAAATGTATTAAATGGTTGATCAATGTGAACCGTTGATCAAAAGAGGGGTAAAGTACACTGGTGGAGAGAGGGGTTGTACTCCCGATTGAAAACCCCTGTAGTTTCGGTTTTTCAACATCTTTAGTCCCATAACCCCCCCTATAGTCTCAGTTTTTCAACATCTTTAATCCGGTTCGTAACACCAACCAGGACTAAAGCTTTTTTTCTTTTCTCATGTTCAATATCTCCAAATCATTATAATAACAAATAACAAATCACAATCGCACCACAAATCACAAATAACAGAAAGCACGAATCATAGATACACAAATCACACATAGTTCACATATAACATATCTCCCAATACCATTCACAAATCACATATCGCACAAATCATAGTCATTCACATCACATTAAGAAGGAAAAAAGAAGAAAAAAAGAAAGAATTTCCCATGCCACCGTTGGGCGGCCCTCCGCGCCTCCGCCGCCTACCGCCATGGGCCCTCCGCGTGGGCAGCCGCTGCCGCCAGGCCTCCGCGCCTCCACGACCTTCCTTCGCGGCGGCCGCCGCCGGGAAGACAGGGTTGAGGGAAAGGGGAGGAGGAGAAGGAGGAAGAGGAGAACGAGTGATGAGGAGAACGAGTAGAGGAGAAGAGGCTAAGGGATAAGACCAAGGGAGGAGGGACAGACATATGCGTGAAGAGATAATGATCGCGTAGCTTGGGGTGAATTTTAGTACCGGGACTAAAGATCTATTTTTAGTCCCGGTTATTTATACCAACCGGGACTAAAAATAATTGGGGCCTGACACGACCCAACAACTTCTTCAACCGGGACTAAAAATGATCTTTAGTCCCGGTTGGTAACATCAACCAGGACTAAAGATGCTTTTTAATCCCGGTTTTCATTGGAACCGGGACTATTGTGGAATTTGGCCGACCGACCAAAGATGGTTTCTCCAGCAGTGGTACGAAATAAAATTATTGTAACATGGTGTCGAAACTAGATTTCGGCAGTACTAAAAAGGGATAGGGAACAAGCTATGAAAGTGGTTGGATTATGAGACAATGGATTTATACAGGTTCAGGCCTTCTCGATGAGAAGTAATACCCTACTCCTATAGATGAACGAGTCGGGATTACAAGATACGGACCTTATCCCTTACGGTTTAAGCTCTATATATATTTTACAATTGTAACCGACTAAGATTACGTGATACTTCCTTGATATACAAGTTAACGTAATACCCGAGTCCTATCTTTACATATTCTATTACTATGAGTTACCCCCGATAACTAGTCGGGTAACGCAGCCCTGTGGGTATATGGTACCCATAATCTCCACAGTAGCCCCTGAGAGGCCGAGACCTTCACAGATGATAAGGTAATCTTCTCCCGAGTGGTTTAATAAAAAGATCCGAGTGCTTTAGTCATTTTCGCCACAACTCCTGAGTACCTCAATCATCTCAAGCTGTGAAGGGCTAAAAAAGAAAAATTAAGGTGCATCGACTAGATGCACCTAATTAGTTGTAGCCCCCGACTATGTGATTTGTTGAACAAACTAAACATATATAGTCAAGGAAAAAATAACCAACCGAGTGGTTTCTAATGATTATAGTCATCAAAACGACTAAACCAAATACCAAGCATATGCAGCTTAAATCCCCAAAATAATATGATTTATAGGATATGCCGACTGCTTTTTATACAACATATTAACTCAAAACATTTAGCCTAAGCTTAAATGCTGATTTAAAAAGCTCACTTACGTGATAACGATCGGGGTTGGCTAGGGTTCGGCCGGACCCACGGCGGCGCCGATTGCCCTCTTCCCTAGGGGCGAACGGGCGCCGCCGTGGTTTGGCCGAACCCTGGTGGGCTCAGTCGGCCTCTAAATTTTTCACACGTCTACACTAAATTAATTCAAGCAAGACATGATACAATTTTACAGAATTTAAGCAAATTTTAGATGAGTTCATTGAGGCTCGAAATCGATTAGTTCAATAACGTCTACTTCTTCATCGAAAACTTCATTCCACTCAAGGAAAATTTTTAAATGTTGGCCGTTTACCTTGAACAAATTATCTAAGTCGTCACGAAGTGTGATAGCTTTGTGTGACGAGGTGTCGATGATGTCGAACGACCCTGTCACACCCGGAGTTTTCCCTTCCCTTAGGTTCCAAATCACTAATAAATGATCTCAAGAATTTGCTTTGGTTAACCAGGAGAAAACCCCAGTTAACAGTACTTTTAATAATTGGAATTGTCAGGGAGAATTTTTTTCTAATTCTCTTTGCTCTGAAAATCACTAACAGGATTTAAAGAGTAAATATCAGATTACCAGAGGCAATGTTGCTAAGTTAAAAGTGTCAAGTTAATTTTTCTTCCTTTGCCTTTGGTCGTGAATTGTGCCCAATTCACTCGCCTCTCAGTCCGCGGTTTCGTTTTGCATGACGAACCGTATACGTGTCAGTTCGCGGGACCGTTTCCTTTTCTTTCCTAAAACAGCACCGCATTGTTTTTCCTTTTTGGGTAAGTCCTAATCCCCTACTTTCCTTTTTCCTTCCCCTCTCCCCAGCCGGCCGCGCCCTCCCCCTCTCCTTCCGGCGCGCGCGCCCTCCCCCTCCCCTTGCCCGAGTCAGTCTCCTCCCCTCCGTCCTAGTCCTACTCCATCTATGACTCCCCCTTTCCTAATCTAGTCCTCCCCTATTTAAGTGTTCCCTCCCCCAGTTTTTCTTTCTTTTCTGCCCTAGCTACCCTAGCTGTCGCGCCACCGCCGCCCAAGCTAGCCGCCGCCACCGCCCTAGCGTTGTTCTGCCGCTGTCGCCGTCTCCGCCATCGTCGCCCTCGCGTCGCCGGTAATCTATTTTCCCCTCTCAATTGAATTGGTTAACCCAATGTCAATTGTTTCCACGTCTAACCTAGCACGTTGTGTCCTCTCTAGCGCCGCCGTCGTCGTCGTGTTCCCTGCCGGTTTTGCTCCCTGCTGAGAACCTCCCTCCTGTTTTTAGGGTTTTGTTCCTGTGTCGTAGTTGGCCGAATCGTCGTCGTGGCCGCTGCCGCCGCCTAGCCGCTGCCGCGCTGAGCCACCGTCGCTGCCAACTGCCGCACCGTTGCGCTGCGTGCCTCTGCCGTGCGTCTTTGCCTAGCCGTTGTTTTGTCCCGTCGCTCGGTAGTTGAGTTGTCTAGCTGTAGGTGTGTTGACGGTCGTTATCGATCAATTTCGTCCGTCAATATTACCAAAATAAAGGAGAACTAGTTATGCTTGCAATGCATATACAAGTTAGAATAATAATATTCCACTAGTATTAGGTTTACTAACCTTTTGAAGAGAATAACCATAAAGTGGAGGAGAATCGACATCAACTCAGATGATAAATCAATCGGACGATGTCAAGAATCAGACTTATGCATGAATGGACCAAGAACTCAGAATTGACACGATGAATTGGGCCAAAATTCACCAGTCTATGAAGTGAAGCAACGGAGGAGGCCGCCAGCCAAAACTTGGGCTGGTTGGGCCGGCCCCTGGTTCGGCCGAACAAGGGGGTTCGGCTGAACCTCCCTCGTCGCCGTTGGATGCAGGGCTTCTTCTGGACGGTTGGGATTGATCCCCAATGACGGTTGGAGGGTATTACCGACCATTCCAACCATCACAACCGTCATTACCTGCCTATAAAAGGACTTCCTCTTCTCACTTCACTCACACACCTCAAGCAAGAGCTCTCTCATATTCTCTCAAGTTAGTTTAGTATTCTTAAGCTAGTGGAATAGGAACAGAGTAGAAATCAGGAGTCCGGAAGCCTTCGGAAGAGTTCAGGTATGGCTCTAGGAGCTCTTCTCCTCTCTTTTGTAAGCTTTGTACTTTATTTAGAATACTCTTCTATATACATTTATGGTATTGAAATACTTTCCGAGTATATGAATACCTACTTTATATTATGTTCATGTTATATTGAATATACTGCTAGCTTATCTGGGAGATGCTTTGGTGCGGGTATAATGTTTGCTTATGCAATTACTCTATGTCATGACGATGATATTAGAGTAGTATCTGGTAGTTTAGACGTGGTGTCTAGATTACGGATATCATTATTTGGGGTTATATGCTGCGGATGAGAGGTGGGCCGCTGATGGTGACAGCTTAGTACGGGTATTCCCCACGCATGTATATAGTCCTAAGTTCATTCCCTAGGGAGGGTATTCCTCCGTATTTAGCCCCGGTTGTATGGTCATGACGGGCTGTCGTAAGGAACTCGGCAGTCAAGGGTGGCTTCTCAAAGTACTAGGAGGGCATCGGATAGAGGGTATTAGCTAGTATGTCGGTTAACTAGAATGTATGTATACTATGT